ACTTACGAAGCAAATAAGAAAAATATTTTTAAAAAATGTAACTGAGTGTAAATTCAAACTACAAATAAGATAGTTGTACGAAATAAATAATAAAAATCTAACAGAATAATATAACCAGGTCGGAAGCAAGCGAGAGAGAGAGCAAACATTGAATGAAAGAACTCTGTATAGTGAACGTAAAAATAAGATGTAATAATTAATAAGTAGTTTCCTACATAAATATAGGATCGTTATGTCTGGATAAAATACGAGGTAACGGAAAATCGCTACCTAATATTTCCATCAAAAGCAGGTTATGGAGATGCGAAGGTTTGCAATGCATAACGGTAGTGTATTCCAAATTTCCGCATCTGCATACCGAAATATGTCTTTGAAAGTCTCTAATTTGCATCTCAGTAGTAAAAGATTCCGTTTGCTCGTAAACTATATGTAACAAGATCTTCTAGTAGTACGTACACACTTGGAAAACAGACATGCCCGAAAATGTAATTAAAAAATTAAGAACGTATATAGAATTGTATTAAATAAATGTTATGAATCACACATGATAAGTAGCAGAGACGTATGTGAAGATACATATATGCAAATTCGCGCATATGCATATATTAACTAATGTAAGATATTTTCCTTTCGCGATTTGTTGGAGCGACAAGATGCCAGAGGATGCCATCCAACTTCGTCGCGTTTCGGCTTTTCTTCCTTCGCCTTGGCGCTCTGTCTATTCCCGGTCTGCCCTCCTTTCTCTCGTTTGCTTCCGACCCAGTCCCTGGCGCCGCCAGTAAAAAACTAGCCGAATAAATATGTCCCGTATTCTTTGCACGGCCATTGTGGCCGAGGCGTCGCAGTAAAATACGGGGCCTTTATTATCCTATGAGTCTCAGGCGCGGCGAACGGCGCGGACGGAATAAACTCACGACAACGGTAAACTCCGCGCAAAACCTACGGTCAGAATAAAATAGCCGGAATCTTCCAGAAGACGCTTCTCTCGCGCGTGTTCACGTCGGTCTTTTCTATTTTCGGTCAAACAGCGAGAGGTGATAAGGTTATTTAAAGTCTCTAAAGCATTAGACAAAGTAAAAATTAAAAATCAAACAAGTATATTAACGATTAACATAAAATGCTATAAAAATGAGGAAATACAAGGCAAAGAGATCAGCATATCATTGCAAAATAGAGCTGTGTGAGAGCATTTAATTTTGAAATTGACACGTAAAATCGGTTTATTGTACTGAAATAACTGAATTCGAAATCGATACTTAATAAGTGAGCCAAGAATAGTAGGGTTGCGCCATGGTTAGCGAGCGAGTATTTTGCTAGGTCACGTTAAAAAGGGATGAGAAAAGAAGTATAAATGAGAAAGAGAGAGAGAGAGATAAAGACAGAGAGAGCAAAGGGAAACGAGAAAGAGAATGGCTGGCAAAAAGGACGAGGATGGAGGAGAGTCGGCCAGGGGCTCTCGTTAATAACCGGACTCGACTTGATTATGGTCGCCACCGGCGCGGCGGGCGCATCGGCCGCTTTAGCCTCCGCGGTCGCATCGAACGAGGTAGCCGCTAATGGGCCGGATATGGATGAAAAATTATCTCGGCTTAATGCGCACGCTCGCGCGAGCGCACGACCGTTTTTCGTTATTACGCGAGCTTTAAGGCTCTGCCGGGAACCAACGCGATATCCACGCCCTTTGCTTCGGGGCTCTCTTCCTTCCTCCCGCTTTCTCTTCCTCTCCCCTTTTTCCTCTTTCTATTTATCCGTCTCTCTCCGACTGTCCAAATTCGTTCCATAATTAAGCGCTTGATTATCGGACTAATCGTACTGGGCGTTTCCAACGGAACGGTCGGCACAGTTGATTTCCGACGCCCGAACCGGAATAATTTAATTTATGACAGCCACTCTTCCCCGCGCCGCTCCCACCACGTGCCGTTCTGCGCCTAAATGTTTATAACCCCGACGTTGGTTCGTGCAGCCGATAAGGTAAACAGAATGATTGATTAACCGCACCGAATCAGTAGTCGCGCGCGGATGCTCCTTATGCGAAGAAAGCGCGACGGTCACGCGATACTTCGATACTATCGCTCCAAAACTCGTTATATCGTTTTAGACAGGCGTCTCATTTTAATTTAATTTCTATGTAAATTACGCTATAGAGCTTTGTGTACATCCAAATTATTTCGTATAACATTGACGGAAAAAATAATAGCAAAAGCACTTTTTGCTATACTAATTTCTTCATTACAATTATTACAATAATTTACATAAATCAAAAGATATTGCAGTTGATAATAGTTGATTAAAACATTTTCTCTTTTCTCTCATATAGAATACGCCTAAGTATTTCGCATTTCCATTTATGATTCATTGAATGCAATTAGGATGCAATTTTCTCAATGTCGAATGAGAGTAAGCAGCTAAACAAAATTAATAAGAAATAGATAATTTTTTTCTAATAGACGAAATTTAACAGGGAAAAGATAATTTCTTTTCCGAAATAACCGGCTCGAGTCCATTCGAAATTAAAGCTTAAACTAATATTCCGACAAAATTGAAGAAAAATCGTGAACGTGTCGTGTTAATTGGTTACGAAGAATAAATGTCCCCGTGAGCCTTATACGAAGGTAACACTCTTTGCAAACTATCGAACTCGAGAGAGATGTTTCGGACTAGCACTCACGATCCCGCGGGAGACACGTGCAGCGGGCAAGATTACACCCGGTAACGCGACTAATCCTTTATAGCTAGTTACACCAGAAACTTACGCCTCCGCGCCCGCAAAAGTTTTGCGGTAGCAAATAATTCGGCGATAGGTAACTTTTGTAAGTGCTGTACGTGTCGGGCGGGCGCTTTTAACGACACGAGTTTGCGACAGAGAAAAAAGAGAGAGAGAGAGAGAGAGAGAGCTTATATTGTATCCTGTCTGAGAAACAAACGTGATTATTTGCGCAGTGCTTCCAATAACCGTGAAATCACTCGGGCGCGCGGCGGAAATGATCGACGGAAGCGCAGCCAGGTTTTTCAAACATCAGTCGTGTAAATAACGTCGACTTGTTTTCAATTCATCGGACGGCTCTCGCACGTAGCGTATATCGCCTTCTAATAACAGTAGGGGTCGCCAATTACGAGCTATCGAAGTGCAAGGTAAACATAAAGGCAAAATAGAAATGGAGTTGCACGCGTACCCGGTAGAAAATATGATTATAAAATACAATCCAACTGAACATCGCATACATAAACATTGCTGATATATAACGAAAAAAGAGAAATTATTATACTAAAGTTAAGTAAAATGAAAGGTAAAATAAAAATTAATTACATTTACAAATAAATCACTTAAATTTATATCTTTTTTTGAGCATCGAAATCGCGAAAAATTCAAAGTTTTACTTTTTAGGGTAATGACTGACGCAACAATGTTTGTTCGGCATAGACTGCATAGAGCATAATTATCCCTTCCGGTACAATTCGATACCGTCTTACGGTATCTCGATGCCGAGCCTCCACTAGCCTGAAGCGCGCGGCGCGATCGAGTTTTGGCCACGATGTTCGGGAGATTACGAGATACTCAATTAGGGGATTCAGTGTCATAGAATTCGAGAGCCCCGGATCAAGAGCTCTTATCGTGCGAGTAACTTTGGATTATATGACCGCGCGCACCAATTCCGCGCTCCGAGTATTTCG